AGCTCCTATTAGCCCAAGAATGGAATTTATCAGATGTTAAAAGCAAGAGAGAGAGAGAGAGAGAGAAAACCAAAGATTTTTGTGTTCTAGACAAGTTACGAGATTTTCTGTTCAGTGAAAAGGAAAAAAAAAAAAAAGTAAAATAAATAGTGTCACGCATTAGTTTCCTTTTCTTTACTTTCTTAATTTAAAATATAAAAAAAAAATACATTAATAAATTACCTTAAATTTTCATTTAATTTAACTAATAAATATTAATTACTAATCTAATGACCCTTCAATATACATATATATATATACATATATATGTACAGATGGTAACGATCAAATCCATATTTATTTAACAGTAAATTTTATAATTAATTACAGTCAATGATCAACGTCGGCAAGCTGCCACGTGGGAACTCCAACGGCTACTTTCCGTGGAATTCTGGAACGTGCCTGAAGAAGCCGCCGGTTCTCCACGCGCAATCAGACATCGTGCAACGAACGATCCAATAGGATTTGCGGAGAATAGATTTGCGAGTGACGTGCGGCGAGGAGCACGGGAAACGCGGTGTACCCGCGTGGAGGGAGCGTTGGATGCGTGAACATGTAAATAGTGGAGACAAGATAGGATTGAGTTGGATTGCGAACCGGCGGAGAATTTATTGCGCGAATCCGGCAGTTTTCGTTGAAACCGAGCTGTGACTTTATTCGACACGTTAGGCGTCACAGACGAATAAATTACTGACACGTAAGACGCGATCAGATATCGAGAAATGCGGGCGCTGATTGTTTATTCTAGTAATACGACGCCGTTTCATAATATTTATATTAAAACTTAAGATAAATAATAAATAATAATAAGCGAGTAGGTACGTCAGGTCAAGTACGTGTTGGTTAAGCGTTGAAAGCGTGGGGCCCTGGTGAGATGGGGTCAAAACGGGGCGTATCATCTTGTTGACAAGGACAAGAATATCTTTATTCCAAAAAGTAAATGAAATAACCCAACAACCAAACACTAAAAACAAATAATAATTATTATAATAATTAATTTGCATGTTCAAAAAAAAAAAAAAATCTCTATTCCAATAATATACAAGCTGACTTTTTGTCAACCACTAATCAACTTTTTCCAATTTCCACGTGTAATTTTATTAAATTATTATTATTATTACTACATTAACCATATACATACGTAATATACTTAATATAATAAACTTTTATTTATTTTTTAATATTAAAATTTTTGTTCTAATTATTTATTAATTTAAAATTAAATCAGACACGAACAAAACAAATCGCACTAAAAGCCGATTAAGAATAGAGTTTAAAGTAAAGATTGAGATATTTTAATTTTGGCTATGACTATATTATATTAATATTTTTTAATATAATTTTATTTGGGTCATATTAAAATATATTATATTTCTTTAATTTATTAATAAAAAAATAAAACTAAAATTTTTATTTTATATCGATCTATTTTAATATACACTGATATTAAATAAAAACGTATCGATTATCTCGGATTAAATTTATTTTCAAGAGTATTGTAATTTTTTTTTAAATTAAGAATATTATTTATATCGGTAGATTTCATACGAAGCTTGTTGTGCTCAAGCTATTGCAACTTATGATTTAAGTGGAAGACATAATCATAGAATTTGTCAATGACAATCATTCAAGGGTTTTGATCTTCCAACTCACACTTCTTATTATCTTTTTGTTTTTTTCACACGGATTCTACACGAAAATCATATGTGTATGTACATATATATAGGATATAGCGAACATTATACACTTCAACTTATATACTTGATATTACTAAATCTAACGTAACATTAAAAATATATATAGAGGTAGACTGTTTACTAATCAGTTACAATTCATTATGTTATAAAAATTACGCAAATAAAAATTTATAACTAATAAAATATTGATACAAATAAAAATTTATCATTAACATAACGAGAAATGACTGTAAATAAAAAATTATAAATTTAAAATAAATATAAATATATATATATATATATATATATAGTGAACATATTAAATAAATATTTTTTTGCTATAAAAGTCACATGTTGAATGTTGTCATATGTTGACAATACAAATTTCAAACAAAGTTTATTTTATATAATTAATATATGATCAAAAAATGGAAACTTCTCATATCCCCCATTATAATTATATATATATAACATAACTTTCAAAAAGATTGACTTATAAAATTAATCTAATAATAATACTTCATAATTGCACATGTTGGGTTGCAATTTGAATTATAATTTTTTAATAATTGTTAATTAATTTTTTGTATTCTTTAATTATAACATAGTATATGTAAATTTTATACAAAATAAAAGTCAAAACTTAGACTTTTGAGTAAAGTAAAAGTTAAAATAAATATTTGGGTTAAAACCCATTTTAAATTTTATGCACATTTCAAGTACTATGACAAGTTGGTGTTAAATTTCGGTTTAAAGCACAAATTATTGAGTTTGAGATGTGCAAAAAATGGCGATACATCGGTATTCTGAGAATATTAATACGTCATTGACAAGTAATTTCACACCATACGTTATATTAAGGGGTATTATATTTTATAAAAAAATATTAATTAATAATTATACATTCTTTTAATAATAAAGTATAAAAAAATATAAAATTCAGTTCAAATCCATTTCTTTAAATAAAAAAATATTTAATTATTTAATATGATAAAATTGCTTTAATTATCATTATAATCAAAATGACCAGTAGATTGTTATAATCTTATTAAATATAAATATAAATATTTTATTTTATAATAATTAAAATTATATATTATTATTTATTATAATTTTTCGTATATGTTGAGAAAGTTAAGTACGAAGTAAATTATTATTAAATTTATAATCG